TTCAGGCAAAACAGGGTTAAAGCTGTCTTTTTAAGTCATAACTGTTTGTGTGTTATTTTCTTTTGTCTTGTCTGTATGTTTTAAATTGAACCTAGAGTCTGTTATAAATTAATTGACCAAATTCAATTCAATTTGGGGCGACGGCGGCTCAGTTGGTCTTTGAACCTAATGGTCGTGGGTTCAATCCCCCCACGACCCATGTCATCTGCTCCCTCTGATGTCTGCTGTTGTTGTGTCCCTGGGCAAGAAACTTAACCCTGACTCACACACAGACAGACACACACACACACACACACAAAACTCATTATTGGCAATGTAGGTGAAGTGTCTTGCCTAAGGACTCAACATCGGCTTGGCACTTCATAGCCTCAGCTGCCCCACTGTGGCACCTGGTGTTTCCAGAGGTCTCCCATCATAGCCCTAACCAAGCCCTGCCCTGCACAGCTTCAGAGGTCTGACAGGATATGGTTTTCACATACAAGTTTGGCAAATTATAAATAATTGGTTAAGTCTCTATAATATTTACACAACTCCACACTGATTCTGATTGTGATATTTTTTCTTTGCTCAGGTCAGAGGTTATCTGTGGCCACATGATCATTTATAGCAGATAGAGCCACACAACGTCCCCTTTAACTTCACACACTATGTCCACGTTACGCTTGGCAGGTTTCAGCTTGAGGACTTCTGTGATGTCATATGAACTCAACCTATTTCAGTTGCTGTCTACGGAGGCCACATAAACTAGAACACAGCAGCTGCCTAACACGTTTAACTTTTTCAACCCCTGCTTGGATCAAAATAGCACCAAACATGGAACAGTAATTGTGCTCGCATCACCAGGGAGACTACGACAGTCTCTCCAAAGCCAAGAGTCCAGCACCTCGCGCATCTGCTTTTAAAAGACAGAAGACGACAATAAAACTTTTCCTCTCCACTCCATATGGCCAATTAGAAAAGAACTCCTCTGTGAGTTTGCCATTAATTATTTCTTCAATGAACAAAATCATTTTACCGTAAAGGACTTCTAGGCAAGGAGGGAGACGCCGTTTAAATCTATGGAGAATGAACTTGTCCTTCCCCCATGAGGCCAAAATTCCACATGTGATGAAAAGCACTTTGCTAAAGGCAGGAAAAAGGAAAATAAATAGCATCTTCTTGTTGTGAGAGCATCTGCGGGAATGTAGTATGAATAAATAAAGTTTCTGTCAAACGTGGTCCCTTTGGGTGGATTACAAAGCAGCCTCTTGATGTGAATTAATGATTCCATTTCCCCAGACTGAAATCTTAAGAACAGCGGCTGCCGCGAGCCTCGCGAGTCTTACCTCGGTCTAAAGCCTGTTACTGACATGCCGCTGTTCCACCGTGTACAAAGAGCCTGAGATCTAATCGGCACAATGACAATGTAGACGTAAGGGAAACATTATGGAGCTGTTTAGATCATGTGAACTGTTGTGTAAGAACCAGAACAAGCCGCTGCTAAGGGCCAACTTTCATCAATATTCAACATCTCAAGAGGAAAACCGCCAGTGCTTTTTCTACTTTATTCAAGTGAAGTCACATTCCTTTATGGTATTTTCACATTTCTTACATTTTGTCTTTAATTTATGATGTTCAACTATGTTTTAGGCTGTACTAAGAGTTTTTATTTTATTTAAACATTTATCCTATGGAGCATTTGAGCAAGTTTGTTCCAATTCTCCTGAGAGTCACAGAAAAAACCAAGGTAAAAAAGTGAGGTGGAAAAAGCTGCCAAGTAATATGACTATATGATTCTGAACTTTCGGAGCATGAATACATTCCATACATCACTTAAGTCACATTCAAAGACCCAAGCTTGTTACATAAAGTACAATACTAAAAGCCGTGTAACAAAGTCAAGTTCATTCCTTCAAAGTTTGGGTTTTGCACGTGCTGCTCTTTTCTTTTTGAAGTTGTGCTAAAAAAAACACGATTGATAATGTTTGTGTCCTGGGTGCACTGCGTTGCAACTCTATAAGACATACTCACATGGGTCCAAACAATACGACTACCTTTCCCACTGCTGCCCAGGTCGACAAAGGATTTCAACATTTTAGATAATGTGGGTGAAGTGTCTTGCCCAAGGAGGAAAACTTTGGAACTATCCAACCGCAGCCGCTCCACTGTAGAACCTGGTGTTCCCAAATGTCTCCCATCACAGTACTAACTCAGCTCTGCCCTGCTTAGCTTCAGAGGTGTGAGGTTATCTGACTTTCACAGACAGGTGGCTACCCTTACAATGGCTTCAATGTAAATATGAATACATTATTAGTGTTAAACAAATGAAATGTACAAATCATTTCTCCAGCCTCTGAAAGAAACCAGCCTCATTATGGAGCCATGCATGATTTCCTTTGCTTACACATGTCCTTGAATGCCTCTTCTGTGACGAAGCCTTGTCGTTTGTGGCGGAGAGCGTGTGGGGAACGAGAGGCGTTTAACCTGCTCTGCTCTCGTCTTTTTGCAATCTCACCCTGCGTTCCTCGCCCCGTCTGGAGCGGGACGACCGGTGCATAGCAATGGCCGTGTCTTGGGTGCTGTTGGCCCATGCAATCCCTCTCAGTCATTCTTCATTACACAGAGATAGAGAGGCTCATCCCTTCCAATATTACCCAGACTCCTCCACGAGCCACAGCCACTATTTAGATGGCCTCAGCGCACCTTCTCTGTCTGACACTTTGATCACGGCTGGAGAGAGGACGGGACACTATTGACACGGTGTAGGACCATGACTCAAAATACCATCTGATTCAAAAGTCAATGATCATTGTTTATGATTATCTCAGCTTATGAAAAAGTTATTTGATCTACAGTATATTAGAGCTGCATGATAGTGATAATGTGATAACAACATATATTGTGACTGAATTACTTTTCCCCAAACATAAGATATTTACATCAAACAAATTATTTCTTTGCATTGAAGGTTGTATACAGTGACATTTCAGGCACAGTTGACAAAAAGGTTTATACGTGCTAAATAAATCCGTTAATTTTATTGTTGTAAAATGAAAATAAAGAGTTGAGTAATATCCTCAGTGTGAGGAAGGACCAGTAGGGATAGTTTTTTGGTTCTGCACAAATATTCTGCGATGTCTCTGCATCTGCTTCTGAAGCCGAAGTCCCAAGTTTCAGAACTGCAGTGTTTTAAGGAACATGTTTTTAATATTTCATCACAGATCATTGAAGGCACTTGTTGTCATCACGATGGTCATACGTTTTGAAAATACTGTTCAGCGCTAATGCAGAGGGTCGCTTTGGTTTCCTTCTATCAATCCGCTCCAAACTATTTAGGATTCATCTGTTGAGGCAACAGGCATCGGGTGGTGTCCATTCCTGTTTCAAAACACATGATAACTTGACTACTTCTGGAGTTTAGGGACTTATCCCCAAAGTATTAATAATACTGTGTCTGGATAAATCATTGACTTCATCTTTAAGGGACAATACATAACAAAGTGTAAGCTGATTTTTACTATGCTCTATTTACTAGTCTGTTGCTTCCTGTTACTTACACGGCAATAACAAAGATTCTGAGTCTGATACAAAATAAAAAACTATTTCTAACACAGTCAGAAAGTCCATTCTGACAGTAGTTATTGTCACTTTTGTAATATCACCACTCCATCCCTGATCACACAGAGTACAATTTCTCAACTGTGTCTATACATTTATTTTACCATAAGTGGAGGAGTTAGATGCATTCAGACATATTCAGCAATTCAATTTGCTTTGCTATCTCTCGTCTTCCTCACATAAATCCAGCGCGAAACAACAAAATCGTCTCATACATTTATGCATCACATCAAATATTAGGGAATTACCACGACTTGACATGTTTTCCGCAAGTTCCCTGAAGTCACCACGGAAAATGTCTCTCTCGCAGCTACAAACGGATCTACGCAGTGTGTTATTGTTTGATAAGTCTTCGCATGAACAGATTTAGATTTACCGCTGTGACGCTGAGGCTGGATTACACTTAAACTTAGCGCTGAGCAGTTACTACATTAAATACTTTATGCTCACAATTCACATGGCAAGAGTCAGTCAGGTGGTCTATTTATGTTAGACTGGCAGCCGAGGAACATATGATACCAAAATATCATGAGCTTTTAAACATGTCATAATTAGCTTACACAGAGCGTGCATTTTGATGGATTCATGCATATTTAAATAATCTTGTAAATTCCATAGACTGTAAATATCAACAGATGAAGTCACGCTTATCTCTGCTGTTGAAACTAATGTGCCACCACTTTTGCCTTCTGTGGGCTTTTTGCTCTTGCGCACCTGTTTGCCGGCACTAGCCCCATTCATATAACAAGTGCATTCTAAAGTCCACTGAGGCTAGAGTGGGCCAAAAAAAATTAAAAAAACGTCCCTCAGCATTGACAGTCTTTACAGGATGGTTCAGGAGCGACTTTTGAAATAATAGCTCACATCAATAGCATCTAGCAGTACTATTTAAAACACACCAGGGCCCAGTTTGCCGATCTGGATATTGTTATTATTGTAGGGTAAGAAAGTGAATGTGGAGAGGGGAGGCTTTGTATCAGATTGTGTCGGTATTAAACGTCGCAAACGTAGTCCTAAGCCTCGCCTACTCCGGGTTGAATGGACTTAAATTTAAGTAAGAGGGGCACCAGCAAGAAGTTGCAATTGAACTAGTCCATTCTGCCTCGATCAGTCTCATAATCTGATAGGTCTTGAGTTCTATATCGGCCAGGGATATCATGAATTATACAAAGAACGCTGACGACTCTTAAAAGTTAGCGTGGGTTTATTACCTACATATAGAAACGGGAACGGTAACCCGGAGGGATCACACAAGTATGATAAGTCACATGAACAGGAATGTCAGAAACACATCACCATCACACACAATACAACTCCAGCAAGTCTTACTGTTACTGCCAAGTCCCAGAGGTGAAGATGCTTTCTACCCGTTTGGGTCAGGCGGTCGAACACTTCAGTCTTCCTCACGCACGGAGAGCGGGCACGCACACACTCCAGTCTTTCCCACACACGGGAGCAGGGAGCGGGGATCGGTCCCGGGAAGCCCAGAGGTGGCTTGAGGCGCGATGGTCCACGGTGCTCCTTTTTGGTGGGAGTTGGAGAGCGCTGCGGGACAGGCAAGTCGAGTTCAGCTCGATGGGAAAAGGATCGGGCAGCTGTCCGGGCAGCGAGCTCCAACCTGTGCCTGGGTTGAAGTTGTGGGCCCCTGGATCGCGCAGGGGAGTGGGCCGCGCTCCAAGACGTGGCCCACTGGCCCAGAGAAAGTTTCAAAGAGAGCTCCCAAAAGGTTCACAAGCAAAAGTTAACACACGAAAAGTTGCTGTGTCTCTGTTTTTGTTCCGGCTCTGGGGGCGTGTCTTATGACGTCAACTTTCCGCGCCTCCAGAACTCCTTTCATGAAATCATAGTTTTAACCACATACACGTTAGTAAGTAACTTTTACTTAGGTTGTAGGTACGTAGGTACTTAGGTACGTTACTTAGACATAGACACACAACACACCTTGTTCACAGACAATGGTACACACGTTTTCTGATTTAAGATGTTAGCAAAACAACATATTCATTCGTGGTTTCAGTTGTCCGTCTCAGGTGTATTGGCGTCCCGTGTCCACTGGGGGGGTGGTGGAACGCCGTTGCCGGATCGCCGGCCCATGGGTGATGTCTATGGCTTTGTTTGAGGCGATGCAGACCCACTGGCCCCCTTTGAGCTCGCCGGGGGTGGGGGCCAGAGGTGTGCTCTGGGGACAATCACTGTCTTTGAGATGACTGCTGTATCTATGTGAGCCATTGTGGTGCTCTATCCGACCTCCATCACCTTAGATGTTCCGAGCCGTGTGTTTTTGTTATCTCACACACAACCCTGCAGCTTGGCCGGCTTGCCTGGGTCATCGCGGGGGCAGTGCATTTTATTACCTTACATTATTTAAGATATTATTGTCACGGATAAACAAGGAAGGATCCAAAAGCAGAACTGAAAAAATATTATAATGTTATAATAAATGGCACAAGAAAATAAATTCAAAATTAAAATCCAGGGACAAGGGGAAAAAACAACAATGGACCAACAACAAGAGAACAGGAGCAGAGGGTGTGAATACACACAGTTAGACACAGGTGTAACACATCAGGGCGGGGCAAACGATCTACAGGACAGACAGGAAGTAAAACTCACAACGAGAGCACAGATATATATCAAGATAAAAACAGATAATTAAAGCCGCACTAACTGACTTTGAGAAATGTTCGAATGAGTACGCTGAGCTCGCTCTATCTGCTTGCCCGCCCCTGTCTGTGCTAACCATAGACCTGTGGCTTTTCTCAAGAAAGTGAGGGCCAGTGGTCCGCTGTGATTGGTCACAATCTGGCCCCGAAACAATGGAGAAGCAGCGGCTCTACTCCGAGCTCCTCCCGTGTGACTGAGCTCCTCACCCTATCTCTAAGGGAGCAGCCATTCTGCGGAGGAAGCTCATTTCGACCGCTTGTATGCGCGATCTCGTTCTTTCGGTCATTACCCAAAGCTCATGACCATGGCGTCCGTAACACCATTACGTTACGGACGCGGAGAGGACGCTGGCGCGTTTTGGCTGCCGCTTCTCCCACCGGCTATCTTCAATTCTACAGCTTCTTTGGAACTTTTACTGCCTGCACCTGGACACACTGCCATTTTTTTCTCAATCCAAAGTGAGATCCGACCTTTTCCAAACCGGTCTGCCTACTTCTGGAAGTTACAGCTGAGCTGCACGGTGGTCTGGGCCTACACAAACCCGCGCTACCTGGCAGCGAAGCGAAGCTAACTTTACCCAGTGTAAGCCACGCTCACCCGCCTTCAAGGTATGCAGTGTCTGGTCCATCTACTCACCATCTTCCCTGCTATCATCCTCGCTCACCTGCTGCCCATCACCTGCTCCACCATGGCTCTCCGCTACTCCTCCTTCCAGCTCCACCGGCTAACCCACTGCTTGCCGCCTTCCTTTGACATCGCTGCGAGCATTAAACATGCCGGTCTTCTACGCCGCCCCCGCTACATACATCGGGGCTCACGACGAAAGTTCATCTACAACTCCACATGTGAAAATAACATCTCAACAATACGATCCGTCATCTACTCCGCTTCCGCTTTCAGCTCTGCGCGTCATCAGAACGCACGTCAAGTTAACATACATAACCTACGGCCCATTTCCACTTCCGCCCTGACTCTTTCACAACAAAAGCCCCTCAAACTCTCGCTCCTCAACACAAGATCCTTAAACAACAAAAGCCACATACTAAATGAATTCATCACGGACACACAACTGGACTTACTCTGCATCACTGAAACATGGCAAAAACCCCTGGACTATTTCTCACTCAACCAAGCCACTCCACAGGGTTTTTCATACATTGACCAACCACGCACTAGTGGCCGCGGAGGGGGTATTGCCGCAATCCATCGGCAATCCCTCAAACTCAAGCCCCTCCCCATTCCAGCCATTCTCTCATTTGAACAACTGTCATTCAAACTCCTTGGCCCCTCCCCTCTGGTTATTTCAATAATTTACCGCCCTCCCAAACCAAATCCATCCTTTCTTTCAGAACTATCGGAATTCATCACACATCTTTGTACGGTCTCATCTTCCATTTTACTTCTCGGGGACTTCAACATACACATTGACTCTGCACACAACACAGTTTCCACAGACTTCCTGGACATCTTGCAAAATTTTAACTTCACACAGCACGTCGACTTTCCCACCCACTCCCGTGGTCATATTTTGGACCTGATCTGCTCCACTGGCCTACACATTGACTCACTCTCTCATACAGACCTTGCAATATCAGACCACCTGGCCTTATCATTTCACATCAACATCCCTAACCCCCACATCAAGCAAACCCGCACTCTCTCTTTCCGCAACCTAAATTCCCTCTGTTCCACCACTCTCTCAACCCACTTATCCCAAACCCTATCAACATCAGAGTTCACCTCTCCCGCAAACACTCCTGACCTGGTATCTTACTACAACAGCACACTCTCCTCCTGCTTAGACACCCTGGCTCCTATCAAAACCGCATCTGTCACTTTCACCCGTTCTGCACCATGGTACACCACAGAGCTACGCAACCTCAAAAAACAACGCCGTCAACTTGAACGCCTTCACAATAAAACCGGCCTCACTGTTCATCTCCAAGCCCTCAATGACCACACTCTCCTCTACAGATCTGCTCTTTCCACAACCCGCACTGCTTTCTATACCGAAATGATCACCTCTGGCTCCTCCAATCCCCGCACCCTGTTTTCCACAGTCAACAAACTTCTTAAACCACCGGACAATATAACTCAATCCTTTACCACGGAAAAATGCAACATCTTTCTTACTTTTTTCAAATCCAAAATCGACAACATCCACCAGCAGCTCACCAAAACCCCCGCTCCTGTCATACCTGACCCCTCTCCCCGAACTGTAAGCCCCCTCTCCCACCTCTCACCTATCTCAGAACCAGATCTCCAAAAGTTATTTACAAATATTAAATTCTCCACTTGCCCCCTGGACCCCATCCCTTCGTCTTTCGTCAAATCATGCCTCCCGTCTCTCAGCCCCCTCATTTTAGAAATAATCAACTCCTCTCTCACCTCTGGTACCGTGCCCCCCGCCTTCAAGATGGCAACCATCACACCCATCCTCAAAAAACCAAACCTGGATCCTGACGACCCCAACAACTTTCGCCCCATCTCCAACCTTCCCTTTCTGTCTAAAATCCTCGAACGATCTGTCGCTGCTCAACTCAACAACCATCTCAACTCCAACTCCCTCTTTGACAAATTTCAATCCGGTTTCCGTTCCCAACACAGCACTGAAACAGCACTGCTCAAAGTCATCAACGACCTCCTCCTCACCTCAGATTCTGGCTCCCTCTCCATCCTGCTACTCCTTGACCTCTCCGCCGCCTTCGACACTATTGACCACTCCATCCTCCTCCACCGTCTCCAGTTCACCACTGGCATTACCGGCTCTGCACTCTCCTGGTTCTCATCCTACCTCTCCAACAGATCTCACTACATCGCCATCAACAACTGCTCATCCCGCTGCATCCCGGTCACCCACGGAGTACCTCAAGGCTCGGTGCTTGGTCCCCTCCTTTTCATTCTTTACATGCTCCCCCTTGGCCACATCATCCACCAGCACGGTTTCAATTTCCACAGCTATGCAGACGACACTCAACTTTACCTCTCAGCCAAATCCATAACCCCTGCCACCATCTCCTCCATCACAAATTGCATATCCGCAATAAAATCCTGGATGTCCACCAATTTCCTCCAACTCAACTGCAAAAAATCAGAAATTATTATTATCGGCCCCAAGTCCCTCCTTTCCAATACCCAGCATTTCACACTCTCCATCGACAGCCACACCATCTCACCCTCTGCTCAGATCAGAAACCTCGGAATCATCCTTGATCCCACCCTTTCCTTCAAGCCCCACATCCGCAACATCACCAAAACTGCCTTCTTTCATCTTAAAAACATTGCCCGTCTTCGCCCATATCTTTCCTCCACCGCTGCTGAAACCCTGATCCATGCATTCATATCCTCCAGACTCGATTTCTGCAACAGTCTCTTATATGGCCTTCCTTCATCTGATCTCCAAAAACTACAATATGTCCAAAACTCCGCCGCCCGCCTCCTCACTCAGACCCGCTCCAGAGAGCACATCACCCCTGTCCTTCAAAAACTCCACTGGCTCCCTGTTAAACAGCGCATCCATTTCAAAATCCTCCTCATCACCTACAAAGCCCTCCATAACCTCGCTCCTCCTTACCTCACTGAACTTCTACAGCCCTACAGTCCCTCCCGCCGACTCCGATCTGCAGACTCACATCTCCTCACTCCCACTGTCAAATCTAAGCACCGAACCTTGGGGGACCGAGTTTTCGCCATCTCTGCTCCCACTCTCTGGAACTCCCTCCCCCTCCATCTCAGAAACTCGGACTCTCTAAACTCCTTCAAAAAACAGCTCAAAACTCACCTTTTCCTCCGAGCATTTGACTCTTAGTTTAAACTCTCTACCCTTCTTCCTCACTCTTAGATTTTTAGTTTGTGTGTCTGTCTAAACGTGTGTGTTTGTGTCATGAACTTGTGAAGCGTCTTTGAGTCCTTGAAAAGCGCTATATAAAACTGATGTATTATTATTATTATTATTATTATAGGTGAGGGAGGGAACGAAGATTGACCGGTAAATCGAGAGCTTTGCCTTTCGGCTCAGCTCCCTCTTTACCACAATGGTCCGATACAGCTCTGACTGCAGACGCTGCTCCCTCTTTACCACAACGGTCCGATACAGCTCTGACTGCAGACGCTGCTCCCTCTTTACCACAACGGTCCGATACAGCGACCGCATCACTGCGCACGCTGCACCGATCCGCCTGTCAATCTCACGCTCCATCCTTCCCTCACTCGTGAACAAGACCCCGAGATACTTGAACTCCTCCACTTGAGGAAGGACCTCTCCACCCACCTGCAGAGGGCAAGGCACCTTTTTCCGGTCGAGCACCATGGCCCCAGATTTGGAGGTGCTGATTCTCATCCCAGCCGCTTCACACTCGGCTGCAAACCGTCCCAGTGCATCTTGTAGGTCCTGGTTTGTTGGAGCCAACAGGACAACATTGTCTGCAAACAGCAGAGATGAAATCCTGTGGTCCCCGAACCGGACCCCCTCCGACCCCTGGCTGCCCCTAGAAATTCTGTCCATAAACACAGTGAACAGAACCGGTGACAAAGGGCAGCCCTGTCGGAGGCCAACATTCACCGGGAACAGGTCTGACTTACTGCCAGCAATGCGAACACTGCTCTGGCTTCGGTCATACAGGGATCGGACGGCCCTCAGCAGAGGACCCCCGACCCCGTACTCCCGGAGAACCCCCCCAAAGGACACCCCGGGGGAACACGGTCGAACGCCTTCTCCAAATCCACAAAGCACATGTGGACAGGTTGGACGAACTCCCATGAACCCTCGAGTATCCGATGGAGAGTATAGAGCTGGTCCAGTGTTCCGCGACCGGGACGAAAACCACACTGCTCCTCCTGAATCCGAGATTCGACCATCGGCTGTAGCCTCCTCTCCAGTACCTTGGAGTAGACCTTACCGGGGAGGCTGAGGAGTGTGATCCCACGATAATTGGAACACACCCTCCGATCCCCCTTCTTGTAGAGAGGGACCACCACCCCGGTCTGCCACTCCATTGGCACTGCCCCCGATCGCCACGCGATGTTGCAGAGACGTGTCAGCCAAGACAGTCCTACAACATCCAGAGACTTTAGATAGTCAGGACGAATCTCATCCACTCCTGGCGCCTTGCCACCATGGAGGCTACCAACCACCTTGGTGACCTCAGCCAGGGAGATGGAAGTATCCGCCCCAACATCCTCAGCCTCTGCCTCTGTAACGGAGGACGTGACGGGGGGATTGAGGAGAACCTCAAAGTATTCCTTCCACCGCCCGACAATATCCCCAGTCGAGGTCAGCAGCTCTCGACCCGCACCGTACATGGTGTTGGCAAAGAACTGCTTCCCCCTCCTGAGGCGCCGGATGGTTTGCCAGAATCTCTTTGAGGCCGACCGATAGTCATGCTCCATGGACTCTCCGAACTCCTCCCAGTCCCGAGTTTTTGCCTCTGCAACAGCCCGGGCCGCGGCACGCTTGGCCTGCCGGTACTGAACAGCTGCCTCAAGAGTCCCCCGGTGTCCACCACCGGGTTTGGGGATTGCCGCCGGGACCAGCACCAGAGACCTTACGACCACAGCTACAAGCCGCCGCATCGGCGATTGACAGAGAACATGGTCCACTCGGACTCCATGTCCCCCTCCTCCGCCGGGACCTGGGAGAAACTCTCCCGGAGGTGCGAGTTGAAAGTCCGTCTGACAGGGGGCTCAGCGAGACGTTCCCAGCAGACCCTCACTATACGCTTGGGTCTGCCAAGTCTGACCGGCTTCTTCCCCTGCCAGCGGATCCAACTCACGACCAGGTTGTGATCGTTTGAAAGCTCCGCCCCTTTCTTCACCCGAGTTTCCGAGACACGCGGTCGAAGGTCAGATGATACGACAACAAAGTCGATCATCGACCTCCGGCCTAGGGTGTCATGGTGGGCGGCAACGTGGCTGAGTGGATAGCACTCTTGCCTCTCAGCAAGAAGGTCCTGAGTTCAAATCCCGGCCAGACCAGGGCCTTTCTGAGTGGAGTTTGCATGTTCTCCCAGTGTTAGCGTAGGTTTCCTCCGGGTACTCCGGTTTCCCCTACCACTAAAAACATGCATAATAGGTCTGGCATGCGCCTCCTGTACTGGTTATCTCTGTGTGGAGTGAGAGACAAATGCCCAAAAAATAATAACAATTGTAAACCGCTTTGTGACTCTGGTCTGTGAAAGGCGGTATATAAATAAAGATTACTAAGATTACTATGGTGCCACGTGCACTGGTGGAAACCCTTGGAATCTAATATATCTAATATATTCCATAAAAAAAATGATGTGGGGGGGCGTTGTTGGGTGTTTGTGGAAGGTGGGTGGGTGGGGTTGTAAGTTTTGATTGTTAAGGGAAGTGGGATAATAGGGGAGATAGAAGAAAGGATAGGGGGAGAATGGAATATGAAATAATATTGAGAAAGTAGAAAAAGGAGAATAAAGGAGTGGGGGGATAAACAAGTGGACAGGGGAGGGTGGGACAGGAGGAAGATAGGGAAGAGGATAGAGATGGATTGATAACATAAGTGATGGAATGTAAGGGTTTGGAAGTAAAAAAGGGATTAAGAAAAATGGGAGGGTGGGGAGGGGGGAGGGAGGAGGGAGGTTGGGGGGTGAATGGGAGGGAAAGTAGGTGGGGTATTGTGTGAGGGGAGGAGGTAAGAGTAGAAGGTGGGGGGAATTAGGAGGTGGGTTTGAGGGGTTGTATGGGTTGAGATGTAGGGGATATGTATGGGAAGACTTTGGAATAATGAAAGGGGAATAGTGGATTGAGTGGGGTGAAAAAGAAATGAGATGAAGAAAGGGGGAAGGTAAGGTAGAATAGGGGGAGGGGTGAAGGTGGGTAATAATTGGGGGTGGGTGTAGGGATGGGGGGGGTATGGGGGTGGGGGAAAAAAAAGGAGAGGAAGGATGGGTAAGTAGGTGTGTGTATGATGTGAGGGGGATAATGGAGGGGGAGTTGGAGGGTATGAAATAGGGGTTAATTGGGGGGGTGGAGAGAGGTGAAGTGATTAGGAGAGATGGTGGGGGGGATTTGTTTTGGGGGAGGGAGAAAGTAATAAGAGAAGTGTTGGGAAATGAAAATGATAAAATGGGTGTGGAGGAGTATAGGGGATAAGGGTGTGTATGGAGGGGAGGGGTAGAGAATAAGTACGAAGAAGGTGTTGGAAATGGAAAAGAAGGGGTGAATGGATGTAGGATGGATGGATGGGGGGTGGGTTAAGGAGGGATTATAAGATAGGAATAATGGTGAAAGATGTGGATGGAAAGGGGGGGGATAATTTGAGTTAGAAGAGGGAAGTGTAGGGTTAATAATGTGTAATATGGGGAGTGGGGGAGGGGGATGAGTAATTAGAAAGAAGAGTGTGAATATGTGTGGGGGAAAGGGGGTGGTTTGTGGGGGGTAAGATAAGGGGGGGGTAGATGAGGGGGTGGGGGGGAAGGGTAGGAAAGGGGTGGAAAGGGGAGGTTGGGGATTTAAGGAATGTGTTAAGAAAAAATGGGGTGGTAGGGGGGAATGAGGGGAGGTCAGGGATTGGAAAGTGTGGGGGAAGGTGGGAATTGTGGGAGGAGGAGAAGATGTATTTTTTATGGGGGGGGGGGGTTTTGGGTTTGAAGGGGTTTTGGGGGGGTGGGGGGTGAGGGAGGGGAAGAGGGGGGATAAGGAGGGTTGTAGAGTTAGGGTGAAGAATAAGATAGAAGATGGGGGGGAGGATGAAAGAGGAGAGGTAGGGTAGAGGGGGTTAAGGAGATAAGGGGGGGGGGGGAAGGGGAGATTTATATTATAGGGGTAGGAGGGGTGAAGGGATTAGGGGTAATGGGGTAAAATTGTAATGTTTAGAGATATGGTAATGGGAAGGAGGGAGGTTGGGGGGGAATAAATTGTTTGTCTGGAGGATGGTTTAGGGGAAGAGAGAAAAGAAGATTGGTTTAGAGGGGGGTAAGTATGGGAAATGGGATGGTTTTGGGATGGGGTGATTATTTTGGTTTTGGGGGGGGGTTATTGGTTTATTGGGTGTGAATAAGTTGGGGGGGGTTTTTGAATGGGATGTTTGGGGGTAATTGGAGATGAATGGTTATTTATTGTGGGGGGAGGGGGAATAAAGAAAGATAGAGGTGTTTGGGGTGGTGGAGAGGGGTTGGGGGGTTAGTGGGTTGGGTGGGGTGGGGGGGGGGTTTAGGATGGTATGAGGGTGAAGAGTTATGGTGGGGAGGAATATGTAGGGTGTTTAAGGGGGTAGGGAATAGGTGGGAAAAGTTTGGGAGGAAGGGGTGAAGGGGATTTGATGGTAGGGGTTTTGGGGTTGGGGGGGTGGAGTGTGGTGGAGTGGGTGGGGGGGGGGGGGGATGGTGGGGTGGGGGTTTTTATGGTGGTGTGGGGGATGTTGGAGGAGTTTTAGGGGTGTTGTTGTGATTGGGTGGATGGAGGGGGAATTAGTGGTAGATGTGAAGGGGGTAGGAGGATAAGGGAATGAGAAGAGGGAGGGTTTATTAAGAGGGGGAGGGTGTTAGGGGGGGGGGGGGGGAGTGGGTGAAATTTGGGGTTGTGTGGGGGAGGGGTTGTAGGTTGTTGTGGGGGGGTTTGGTTAGTGGGGGGAGGGATTTTGGTGAGGGATTGGAATGAATGAAATGGGGAGTAAAGGGTTGAATGGGAGGGGGATTGGGGGGGGATTGATGTGTGTAATATATTGAATGTGATAATGTAAATAGAGGGGTAAAGAGAGGGGGGGGGGTGGAATTGTGGGTAGGAGGAGAAGGGGTGGGGGTGATGGAAGGGTGAGGGATGGGGGGGGAGGGGGGGATTTGGGGGGGGTGGGAAAGGGGGTATAGTTTGAGTTTTTTGGATTAGTGGGGGGTGAGGGGGGGTGTTGGGGGGGGAGGTGGGGGTTGGGGGGGGTTTAAGATATTAGGATTGGGAAGTTGGTATATTGGGGAGGGTAATTAGGGGGTGAGTAGGGAGGAAGAGGGAGTTGTTGATAAGGGTGGGTGGTGGGATGGTTGAGGGGTGGGGGTTTTTTTGGTTAGGGGGATTGGGGGTAGGATGGGGAAATGGAGGGAAATGTTGTTAAGATGTTTGGACGGAGTATATGGAGGGGGGGGTTGGTTGGGGTATGTGGATGGGTTTTGATGAGAATTAAGGAGGGGAAGAGGAGATTGGTGGGGTGGGTATGTTTGTTTAGTGGAGTGGGATATAGGGTGGTATAGGGTGATTGATGTGGAGAGGTGATTATATTATTTAGGGAATAGTGAATGGTTATGAGGTTATGTGGGTTTATGGGAGATGATGTATATTGTGAGTTAGTAGGGATTGGGGAAGATGGGGATAAGGTTGGGAGGTGGTGTTTGGGGGGGTGGTTGTATAATATGGTTTGTTTGATTTTTTGGGTAGGAAGGAGATTTTGGGTAGGGGTGAGATATTGTATAGGGGTGATGGGGGGAAGAATTAGGGGGGGAAGGGGGTTGTATGTTGAAATGTTTGGGGGTTTATTTGATTAGGATTGGAATGTGTAGAAGGGAGGGGTAAATGGGGGTAGAAAAGGGGAAAGGAGTAAAGAGGGGGGGGTTTTGGGTAGCAGGGGGGGGTATTTGGTAATGTTGTGTTGGGGAAAAAAAAAATAAAAGGGGTTTAATAAGGGGTTGGAAGAAGGGAGAAGAGATAGGGAGAAAGTGGAGAGGATTGTTTTGGGGGGGGGAAAGGGGAAAGGTGTTGGGGGAGTTAATTGGGGGGAGTGTGGTATGGGGGTGGGGGTACTATAGATATAGGGAAGTAAGGGGGAGTAAACAGGGGTGGGAGGTGGGGGAGAAAGAGATGTGAAGGAAGGAGAAATTTAAAGGTTTTATAAAAGGAGTGAAGGGGTGAAGGGTTTGAAGTGAAAGGGGGAGTATATAGGGGGTGGGTTAAAGGGTACGAGAGAAAAGGGGAATGGGGGGTAAAGAGTGGGTTTGGGTAGAGAGGGTATTGGTAATGTTTGTTGTGGAAAGGGTTTAATAAGGGGGGATGAGAAGGAGAGAAGGAGATAGGAGAGAAGATGGAGAGGGATTGGTTTTGGGGGGGGGAAAAAGGGAAAGGTGTTGGAGTTAATGGGGGGAGTGTGGGTATTGGGGGGGGGGTAAAAAGATAGAAGAAGTTAATGGGAGTAATAAGGGGAAGGGGAGAAAGAATTTAAGGGAATGGGGATATGGAAAGGGGGGGTTGGAAGAAAGAGGGAAAGGGTAAAGATTTGAATTTTATAGGGGGGGTTTGAGATTTTATAGGTGTAGGGTGGGGATTTAGGAAAGGGGGTAGTAGGAAGTTTATAGGTGGGGGGGGGGGGGGGGGGGAGAAATGAAAGTGTATTGAGGTTGGGGTTAAAGGGGTGAAATAGAGGTTGGAGGTGTGGGAGGGATATAACTATATGTATAGTTTGGTTATAAGGTGGGGAAAGGGGGGGGTATGGGAATTATGTTGGGGATAAAAAGTGTAATAATAGGGGTGAAGGGTTTTAGGGTTGTAGTATTTTAATGGATTGAGAAAAATATTATTAGTGGGTATGGTTGGTGAGGGTGTGGTTGGTGTTGAGGGGGATGTGATGTTGGATGGGGGGTATTTGGTGGGGTATGTGAAAATAATGGGAAGAGGTAGTTGGTCTGATGGGGGTGGCTTTTTGGATGGGGAATGGAAGTGTGTAGGTAAAAGGGTAATGTTAATGCGGGTGGTTTGGGTGTAATTGGGCGGAGCATAAGAAGGAAAAGAAGGATGTAATGGGGATGGGAAGGTATAGGGAGTGGGTGTGTATTTTTTTTTGTGGTGGATTTATGTATAAAACATGGGGGGTTGGTAAAATGATGTAAGGGGAGTTGAAAAATAAGGTAAAGGTAATTTGGATAGGAATAGTAATGGGGGGGATGAGGGTTGTTTGGGGGTTTTGTGTGATAAGATGGGTTGGGTAGGGTGAAAAGGAAGGTGGGTTGGAGAGAGTAGAGAACAAAAAAGAAAGGGAATATTTTTGTTTTTGTATAGGGGAAGGTGGGTTTTTTTGATGTATGTGGGTGTTGTTTAAGATTGTTGGTAGTATGATATATGGGTGAGGGGTAGTGAGAGGGAAGAGTTGGAAGGATATAGGAAAGGAGAATGGGGGAATGATTATAGGGGAGGGTGGGGGAATGAGAATGGGGAAAATAGGGGTGGAGGGGGTTTTGGAAGGGGGAGGAGTTTGGGATGGGAAGTGGTATGGGGGGGGATGTAGGTAATGGAGATGATATGGAATTGGGTGATCGGTGATCTGTTTGAGATGGGATGGAGAAGGGGGGTGATGTTGATGAGAGGGGTTGATAGGGGGGGGGAATATATGAGGGGAATTCAGGGGAGGGTGGGTGTATGTGAAAATTGGGGGGGGGAGGAGAAGGGAGTTTTGTTGTTTGGGGGGGATTGTTGGGTTATGGAAAGGTATGGGGGATAATAATGATAAGTAATGAGTTGCTTGATGGGATGGGTGGATTTTGATAAGGATAGGGGAATAGGAGGGAAAGGGTTGGGATTGGAGTGGTTGTGGGAGGTATATAGGGGGAGATTGGGGAAAGGAAGATGGGGGTTATTGGGATTTGGGGTGAAAATGGAGGTAGGTGAGGTGGGTTTGGAGGGGAAGGGGGGGGGGATGAGGGGTTAAGATAAGGAAGGAGGAGTGGTTTGTTGGTAAGATATTTGGGTGGGATTTTAGGAATGGTTTGGTTAATGATGTGTAGGGAGATAGGTGGTGGGGGGGGGATATGTGGAGGGATATGTAAGATTGTGGGAGGGATGGGGGATTTAGGATATGGATGTGGGTGATGTGAAGGTGGGGGTAATAGGGAGGTAAGGTGGGGGAGGTGGGATGATGTTTTTATATGTAGAATAAGAGGAGATTTTGATGAAGGAGGAGGGGGGAGGGGGGTTGTGTGTGGATGATTAATTTTGGAGAATGGGGGGGGTGGGATATGGATTGGTGTGAGGGATAGGGAGGGGTGGAGTGGAAGAGGGGGTGGGGGAATTGGTGGGTGGGGAGGGGGTGGGTGGGGGAAGATGAGTGAATGATATGTAAGTAGGATGATTGATATGGGGTTTTGGTGGTTGGTTTATTGTTTTAAGGTTGGGTTGGATGGGGAAAGGCTGGGTGGGGGGAGGAGGGGGTTGTTAATAAGTAGGAGATATGGGGAGGAAGTTAGGGTTGATTGATGTGGAATGTATGGAAAAGGGGGTGGTTGGAATGGGAGAGAATTGGAGATGTTGAAAAGGGAGGAGGGGTATTATAAAGGTAAGATGAAGTGGGGGAGGGGGGGAATTTGTTTGGTAATATAGGTGGGAGGGGGTGAGAAGAAGGGGTTATGAGGGGAGTGGGTGATTGTGGGTAGGTAAATAGGAGTAAGTATAGGGTTTTTTTTAGGGTTTTGGGTATGGGTTTTTATAGGGGTTTGAAAGTATGGTGGGGTGGGGTTTTATTTTTATTTGGTTGGGGGGGGGTTTGATATGTAGGTGGGGGTTTATAGGGTTATTTTGTTTTGGGTAGGGGGTATGGGTTATGTGAATGGGTTTGATTGTGGTTGGGTTTTTGTATGAGGTAGGTTGGTTTTAGGGGGTATGTTGGGTTATAATTTTTAGGTTGGTGGTGGGTGGGTATGGTATGGTTTATGGGGGGATGGTTTTTATGGTTGTGGAAAGGTGGGATTTTGATGGAATGTTGGGAGTTGGGGTAGGGTATGGGGTGGGGTGTTGTGATTATGGGTAGGGGTTATGGGGGTTATGGGGTTGATTTGGGGGAATTATAGGGGGGGGGGGGTTTTGGGGTATGGATGATGTGGGGTTGGGGTGATAAGGTTGTATGTTGTGGTAGGAGATTTTGAGGTGGTTATTTTGAAAGAGGTTATATTAAGAAGGTGTTGGGTGGGTTATTATTGTTTTTTTGTGAGTGGTTTGGGTGATATGGGAGGTTGTTATTATTGAAGATAGGAGTTTAAGATTTGGGATAGGGGGGTTTGGTGGGTGTAGGGGGAATATTGTTTGATTTAATATGGTTGGGTGGGGGGTGGTTTGTGTTTATTTGTAGGTGTTGTGTGGGTGGTATGGGTGAGGGTATAGGGAGAATTATGGTGAGTTAAATGTTAATACAAAAAGTGTGTTTGGGGGTGGTTATATTGGGTTGGGAATTTTGTAAATGTACGATGAGAGGGGTTGATGGGAGATTAGGTAGGGGTGGCGGGTTGCTAGATGTTTGATAGAGATGGGTGGGGGGGAGGGGAGGAGAAAATGGAGTGAGAATAGAAGAAATAGGGGAATAGGTGTTAAGATATAGGAAATATGGGGATATTAATGATTATTGGTAGCAGTGAGGTTGAGAGGGGATGAATGAGGGTGGGTTGGGAGGGTGTATGGAATGTGTGAAGGGGG